GGCAAGCAGCTGCTGCCAGTGCTTGGGGGGTCCCGGGCAGCAGCACCTGGAGGGGCCCGAGCTGGCCTGGCTCGGAGCTCTGGGCAAGGGTGAACTCTAGCACAAGCCCCCATCCTGCCCCAGTGACTCCAGAGACTCCGGCCCTGCTGCTTTGGCCACACTTGGCCCTTTGCTTGCACCCGCACTCAGGCTGTAACGTCTGTCCGTTGGCTCCATCTCCTTGGCCAGCGGCTCCCGCCTGAGACGTTTCCTGCTGCCTGCTCAGTTACCTGCTCACCGCTTTCCCAGTGCCGGCTGCCATCTGGCCCGGGTCTCTGCTCCTGCGCTGCCCGGGTCTGTCTTGGTGCCAGGGGCTGCTCCCCAGGCTCCATGCCCGCATGGCTGGGCATCCCCTCCTGCACGGCAGCTGCTGGAGCAACGTCCGAGTCGCTTCCCTGCTCCATTTGTTCCCTCGGGAGAAAGAGCTGGAGCCGAGCCCTGGCCTTGCGGCTGCCGGGGCCAGGTGGGCTTGTGGGGGATGAGCGCCTGTGTGTCCCAAAGGTGACTCTGGGTGCTGGGCTCTGACCTGTTCAGCCAGGGCTGTTGTGCCATGAAGCCCTACAAACTGTTGCCCGGCTTCGGGCAGCCCTGCCACCTTCCCTCCAGCCCTGGGGTACCACAGGCTCAGGGCTGGGGGTTTGCTGGGTGCCCCGGGGGCTGAGCGCGGGGTGGCCCCGGCCGGCGCTTGGGAATGGTTACAGCAGGAAGCTGAGTCAGTCGGGAAGGCACGTCTGCGGGAACAGGAAAGAGTCAGGGTGCCGTGGCACAGGCGGGAAGTGGGAGCTGCGCCGTGCCATGGGCAGAGGGTTGGCCTGGCGGCTGTGCTGCCCTGCCAGAGCCTCCTGGCATGCCATCCTCAGCCTGCTCTGGGTGACAATGCGCATTGTTTGTGGGCTGAGGAGCCCACCGCTCTCCATGGGTGACATCGGGGCCAACGGGGGGGTCTGGAGGTGTGGGGATGGGTGGTCTGGGATTCTCCCTGTCCTGCCAGTGCTCTGGCTCTGCCATGTCCCGTCTGAGGTCTCTGGGCTGAGATGGAGCCGCAGGAGCAGTGATGGGGTGGGTGTTGGGTCTGTGGTGCGGCTGGGTCTCCAGCCAGCCTGAGGAGGTGGATCTTACCCACACAGCAAGTGCCGCTTCTCCCCGGGGCTTGGACTTCGACCCGCTGGGGCTTTGCATCCCCAGAGCACCCTGCTTGCGGCTCGGGTCTCCCCGTGCCTGTGCGGCGTGGGCTGGGGAAAGCCTGCTCCGAGCTGACGTGAGACAGGGAAGGAATTATTTTTCTTTCTGGTTAGGTTTTGGCTCTGCTCAGCTGGAAGAGGATTAGCCCATATAAGGGAAAACTGCCTCTCCCACTGCTTCCTCCCTGCTCCTCTGCTCTCCCTAGCCTTCGGCTCTGGGCTGCTTCTCCTCCTCCTTTCTCCCAGCAAGTGAGACCTCGGCAGCAGCGTGTGATGTCCCTGGGGGTCCTGGAAGAAGGAGGCTGGGGGACGTGAGCAGGTCCCTGCAGCCCTCTCATCAGGACCGTTGCTGTGCTGGGGGCTGCCAGGGAGCATCTGCCCCCCATCTCCCTCCCGTAGGCATCACTGCGGTTCACTCCCCAGCTGCCTGCTGGTATCCCAGTCCCAGAGAGGCCAGTTGGGATGAGCCTGTGGTGCAGCATGAAGGTGACCAAGGGCTTGGAGGAGCCCGGGGAGGGAGCTGCGGGGAATGGTGTGGGTGCTGCTGCAGGGTGGCCCTTAGCTGGGTGTCTGGAAGCAGGGGGTTATTTGAGCGCTCGGGGCTGTGCTGAGCTCCAGGCTGTGGTCTGCTGGCCCTGGGCTGGGGAATGCTCCCCTCTCCTGGCCCCTCCAGATTTCAGCCTGATTAATTAGACAGGCAGAATGCAAATCCCCTTGCAGGCAGAGGCAGGGCAGGCTTGAGCTAGGAAAGTCACAGCCATGAGGTCCCCTTCTTCTTACACCCAGTGGCCTTTGGGAAGGGCTTCAATGGCCCCAAGGAGCGTTGCATCCCTGCCATGTTCCCATCACCCAGCTGTCCTTCCTGCTTTCCTCTGGGAGGCAGCCACACTCTCTGTGGCTCCTTCCAAAGGTGACAGTGAAGCTTGGGGCTGCAGGAGGTGCTTGGTGTGCCTGGCTCCTGTCCCCAGAGCAGTTTCCCTGTGGCCGGGCTCCAGCCTCCCAAGTGCTCTGTGCTCAGCTGCTCTGGGGAGCCGGATGGATGCAGGGCTAATTACGGCCCTCCCGGAGGAGCCGCCAGCCATGCTGGGGCTCTGAACACCACAGTACTCAGGCATCATCAGGAAAGTAGCCCACGGGTGCCTTGCCAGCACCCTTTTCACAAAGCCACTTTGTGTGTGTGCCGAGGCGGGCGTTTGCTCATAACCATTAATTTGCTGCTGGCTGGGCAGGGCCGGTGGGGCCCTGGCATGTGCTGATCCCTGGGCCTGCCCGTGCAGGCAGGGTTGGGCCCCTCGGCCCCTTCCCACCCCCTGGCTCCAGCTGTGGTTTCCAGCACGCTCCCCCTCGCCGCTGGCCACGGAGCCTCCAAAGCCACTCATTTGCCTCATCCCGGCTCCCTGCTGACGTGGGCTTGGGACGAGGCTCTTTCTGCTGCCCTGCTGCCATTTCTCCTACGGGGAGAAGCCTTCCAGGGCCCGGGTGCAGGTCAGGTCCCAGATGGAGCCTCCCGGGCAGGGCAGACCCTGGAGCTGGCGGGCGGGTGTCCCCTGCTCCAGTGCGCGTGGGGCTGTCGTGTCCCCCCCCCTTCCCAGCACTCCCCGCTCCTGCAGCTGCTGCCCCCCCCATCGCCCTGACCTGGCTGCCGGGGCCAAGCAACGCACCACCAGCAGCTTACTTAGGGAAGAGCTGGAGCCTCAGCCTCCCAGCGTGTGGCAGAAGAGTGTTTTTCTGTCCTCAAGGCCTTTGCATAGCTGCGGGGAGAGCTGTGCTTGCAACGGGGCCTCCGCCTCCAGCCCCTTGTTTTGGGCTGGACCAGGCTCCATCGCTCCCCCAGCCCCTTGCTGCCACCCCACGCGCAGCAGAGCTGGGCTTCCTGGCCGGCCAGGGTGGCTGCTGGCTCTGCTGGAGCGGCAGAGGGAAAGTCCCTGTCCCGGTGCCTTTGTCCTGGCAGTCAGCGTCCCCAGGGTGCAGGCAGCCGCCCGGGGCAGGCAGGCCTAGCGCAGACGGGAAATGGGAGGCCCCTGTGGACGGAGGGGCTGGTTTCCTCCCCAACATCCCCCTGCCCTGGCAGCGCAGCAGTTCCTGCTCTTCCCAGCTGCTTCCCTGCCCTTGCGCCAGCGGAGGTGCCAGCTCTGGATAAGAGCCCAGAGGGGCTGCAGGCCCCAGCTCCGACCAGGAGGCAGATGTTCACGCTGCTGTGGGGTGCAATAAGCAGCTGCAGCGTGCTGGGAGGGATGACACTGCCAGCCAGTGTGGTGGGGGCTGCCAGGGTGGGAGGGAGCACCCTGGCTTCGAGTGGCTGCCCCCGAGGTTGCGTGCATTTTCAGCGCCGGGCTGGCCAAGGTGAGCTGCCCTGGGGGTCGGCAGTCCTGGCTGCCGAGCATCCTGCCAGGGTCTTCCCAGCTGGGGAAGGATGCTGCTCCCAGCTGGGCCTTGAGGCTGGCAGGGGCTGGGGGACCACAATTATGGCTGCCACTGGGGCAGCACGTGGCAGCTCTGTGCCTGCTGGCTTCACTGGGATGGAAATATTCCCCCCTGGTCCCCAAACCCCGAGCAGGGAGGGCGATGGCTTTGCTGGTGGGTCTGTGCAGACGTTTCTGTGTGTGGGCGATGGTTTGGGGCCCTCGGCACTGCTCAGTCTGGATCCAGCTGAGGGACCAGCCCTGCATTCCCACTGCATCGGAACCTGAAGAGCCCCGATACATGGCCTGGCAGTGGCCCATGGGACTGGAAGGGAGGGGACTGATGCTCTTGTCCCGTGGCACAGCCATGGCTGCTCCCAGCATGCCGGGGCTTGATGCTGACAGCAGCTGCTGTGGGTCACGGGGTTTATTTTTAACAAGTTCCATGGGAAATTGCCTCCTGGGTTCCCAGCGCCGGGTCGATCCCGATGTCCCACAGCAGGACAGTGGGGCTGTGCCTGCCCTGGCTGGCCTTTCCCCACGGATCCGGCTGCCTTCTGGCCCCCTTCAGCATGGGGGGGGCCTGTGCATGGCCCCCTCGAAGCACTTGGGCCAGTGCCAGGGATGGGGCTGTGGACCTGATCTGGAAGAGGGGAAGCAGCTCTGGGTGCCCATGCCAGGTCCTGGTGGGTGGCCTTGGGTGGGCTGAGGAGCACCCATGAGATGTTCATGGGGGGTTGTGCGGGAGGGTCGTGGCCGTGCTGCCCACATACAGAGGGTTGGACTTTGATTTAGGACAGATCCTGCTCATGGATTTGGCTCCGAGAGCCGCCCACCATCCCCTAGTGCTGGGTAAGGGTGGGGAGGGCTGCAGGGGGGTCAGGGGGGGATCCTTCCTCAGTGGGGTGCTGGGACCTTCCCAATTAACACCTCCTGGGGGCCATGGGGGTGAGAGGGGAACCAGATCCTCTGCTGTCGTGTTGTGTCCCCTCCCCCGCTGCTGGAGGGGCTGGCGTGGGCAGGAGGGCTTGTCCCTGTGCTGGTGGCATGTGGGGGCAGGGCTGCAGGGAACTGAGCCTTGGTGGCTGCACGGACCACCGATGGGCATTTGTGCCACATGCCCCTGTCTCCTTGCCCCTCACATGCCTGGAGGTCTCGGTGCCACCGTGGCAGCCCCTCCTCGCCGTGGCTGGTCCCAGCATCCTGCCCCCGGGGGGGCTGTGCTCACTCCCCGCGGGGCCAGGCAGTGCCAGGCAGTGTGCGCCATGCACGTGGGCCCCACCAGACAGACAGCCCCATTGTATGGCATGTGGGCAGCCCGGTGGAGGGCAGCACTGGCCCCAAGCCAGGGGGCCGCAGCGGTTGGAGCTGGTGCTGAGCCCTGCCCTGTCACACCCAGCTGGAGGCAACGCTGGACCTGGCGGAGCGGCGCCGCATCCGCTCGGCCATCAGGGAGCTGCAGCGGCAGGAGCTGGAGCGGGACGAGGAGGCGCTGGCATCCAAGCGCTTCCGCCCGGAGCGCAGCAGCCACCGGCAGGACGACAAGGAGAACTGGCCGCGGTGAGTCTGGCGTGGGGCCGGAGTCCCACTCACCCTCTGCCTCTGCCCCAGGGGACGGTGGCTTCGATGTCTGGCCCCACTGTGGCTTGGACAGATTTGGGTGGGCGCAAGGGTGGGAGCAGCCTGGTGCTGAGCGGCTTGGCACATGGCGGGGGCCCATTGCCTGAATTTGCTGGCTGCCCACGAGGGGACTTTGCTCCCGAGCACCCACGGCAGCTCCCGGCCGGCCGCTCTCGCCCCTGTGCAGGTCCCGGTGCCTGGAGGAGGAGCAGCAGATGGCTCTGGCCGCCTTGTCCCGGCAGCTTGAAACCATCACTGACGTAGAGGAGCTGACAAAACTGGTGAGCAACCGTGTGCCAGGGCTGACCGTGTGCCAGGGCTGACCGTGTGCCGAGGTGACCCTCCCTCTCTCCCGGGTCTTTCCCTCTTGCAGCTGCGGGCGGCGGGTGAGTATGAGGAGCGCAAGCTGATCCGAGCTGCCATCCGCAAGCTGCGGGCTGAGGAGATAGAAGGTGAGGCACTGTCCCCGTGTCTCCGGGGGGGGCTAACCCAGAGAGCCTGGGACGTGGGCAGCTCCTTCCTAAACACCACCTTTGCTCCCATCCAGCCGCAACCCTGGCTGGGAACGCACAGAGCAGCTGGAGGGACAGCAGCAAGCCCCCCGCTGTGCCTGGGGATGCGAAAAGCAGCCGGCGGGATGATGCTGAAACGCCAGCCCTGGCTAGGAGCAGGAAGAGCAGCCAGAGGGGTGATACTGAGCTGTCAGCCCTGGCTGGGAGTGGGGAGAGCTGTGGTGAGGACAGCGCCGAGCCCCTGGCCACTGCCAGGAGTGGGGAGAGCAGCCAGCAGGATGATGCAGAGCAGCCGGCACTGGCTGGGCGGGAGGAGAGCGGCTGCGGGGGGGCTGCAGAGCGGCCCCCTACCCAGGAGCCCGAAGGCTCAGCGGTGAGTGCGCAGGGTGCTGCTGGGGAGACAGGAGCACTGAAGACCTCCTCACTCTTCCCTTGGGCTCCTGTGCCAGCCTGCCTGGGGCACAAACCCCCGGGCACACCGGGCTCGCCCACCCAAGGGGACCAGGGCAGATGGAGCTGGGGTCTCTGGAGACATGGGGGATGCGGCTGGGCTGTGCCAGTGTGGTCCCAGCAGTGGTGAGCTGGGGCTGGAGGCTCAGGCCGGGGTGCCCCATGGCTTCTCCCTGAGGATGCAGCCTAGGTGTGAGTGCTGCGGGCGAGGGGTCTGTGGGGCCCCTCAGTGCGCTTGGTGCACCCCTCCCTGCTGCAGCTCTGCAGGGAGGGTGCCCTTTGGAGGCGATGGCCGCTCATCCTGCCTGCGGCAGCTGCCTGCATCAGTCTCCTTGCACAGGCAGAAACCTTGATCCCCTCGTCCCCCTCCCCATGCTGCTCATTCCTGCTGGCCCTCGAGGGGCCGGGGCTCACTCTGGAGCGGGGCTGGTGCCCACTAGCCATGGTGGGGACTGTCTGGCTGGGGGAAAGATGAGCTGGTGGGCAGGGCTGGAAGGAACAGGCGCAAGCCTGGGTTTCCTGCCCGGCGGCAGTGACCCCACAGGGGACTATGGCTCTCGTGGCGGTAGGAGGTCCCTGCAGAGACACCATGTGGAGATGCCCTTTGCCAGAGAGGGTGGGGAAGGGACAAGGGGTGGTTATAACCACAGCTGAGCGGGAAGGCTTGGATCACCGTATCTGCCTCTGTTCAGCCCAGCCCAGCTTCCCCCTCTGCCTGCCCCGGGGCTGTGGCAAGAGGCTGGGGGGGGACGACACATGGCCCTGTGCCACCTTTCAGCATGTCTGCCTTCCCCATCCGGATGTGCTGGCATGCTGCCCCCGGTCCTGGCCATGCTGGGACATCTCCCAAGCAGCCAGCAGGGCTGCCCCACTCTGTCTGGCTGATTACTCCAAACCTCAGGCCATTTCCCTCAAACGGCAGCTGCAGCAGTGCCTGGGTTTGGGTCCTGGTTCCCCTGTGCCCCCTCGGGGTACGGGCCCCTCTCCACCTCCCCCTGCCTTTGAGTCATGTCAGCACCAGCCCGCGGTGCTCCTAGAGGCGTTGGCACAGCCAGGACTGGCACCCTGTGCCCTGGCTGGTGACACCAGGACACCCTGACCCTGCTCAAGCGTGTGTCAGGGACACACCTGTCACCTGCGTGTCCTTGCCACTTCCATGTGAGCGTGTGGTCCTGCGCCCAGAGCATCCCATTGTTTGCCAAGCAGAGCTGCTGGTGCTGTGGGCAGGGACAGGGTGATGCAAAACTGAGTGCTCCCTGCCTCACGGAGCCCTGAGGTGCCTGGGCTGAGGGGCAAGAGGGGACAGGGGCACTGAGCAGGGTCTGTCCTCTCCTCCCACCTCCTGGCATCCATGTTGGACAAGGCTGGTGTACTCGTGGCAGAGGCCACAGGGGGACCCAAGAGCCAGGTCACTGCTCTGTGCCCTGGTGCTTATCAGCACCATACAGAGGAGTGCCAGGAGCCCCAGGAGTACACAGGGTTTGGGCCCCCCCTTCAGTAGACACGGTGTCCCCCTCCCTGCCTGGTGGAGGCAGTGAGGTGTGGGAACACTTGTCCCCCTGCCAGCCTCCTGCAGTGACCCCTGTGCAGGGGGTGGCTTGTCCATCCCCAGCAGCGTATAGGCAGGGACCTGGGTGGCATGGGAAGAGGCCACAGCCTGCAGCATGTCCCTGGCCGAGTGGCAGGGATGGGACAGGGTGACCCAGTCAGAGACCGGAGCAGGGATGGCCCCGCTCTCACCCCCTGCTCTCCCCAGGCCCACGAGCAAGATGACGCAGTGGAGCAGGAGCACGTCCCAGCTGGGATGCAGGAGCTATGCAGCCAGCAGACGGGAGAACGCCAGAAACCCAGCACCCAGGGTGAGTCCCCACGAATGGTGGTGGCAAAGCCCTGCCTGGGTGCGTGCCCGGGGCCGGAGCAGCACCAGGGCCAGCTGCAGGCAGGGGCGGGAGGATGGAGAGGGCAGCACGGCATCTCCCAAAGGTGTGGACAGGGGAGCCGGGCACCTGGTGGGGCCGTGGGAGCAGGCTTCCCCCATGCGGAGCCTCTTCTCTCTCCTGCAGCCGTGGTCTCGGGGACCCTCGTGCTCCTGGAGTTGCAGCCGGCCCCGGAGCCCAGTCCGGAGCCCAAAGATGGTGGCGAGGAGCCGGAGCGAGACCAGCCGTGTTCCCTGGGCACTGCCCAGCCCAAGGGGCAGCACGAGGCAGCCTGGAAGGAAGGGAGCCCGGGCAGCCCTGCCACCGCCCAGGAGCCCGGTGAGGGGCAAAGCCAACGGGTGGAGCAGCCTCCCCTGGGCCAGCCCAGTGCTGGCAGCCGGGGCAGCCAGGTACAGAACTGGCGGCATGGGCTGGGGCTGCCACTGCTCTCTTCGCCAGTGGCTGGTGGTCCTGTGGATGAAAGCAGCTTGATGGCTTGGGGGGGTGGTGGTGCGTGTGGCCCCCCCAGCTGACTGCTTTGCCCCTTTCCCTCCCTGCAGCTTGGTGTCGGGGTGCGTGGCAAGGTGCCAGGGCCGGCTGGGAGGCGCAGGGAGCCACCAGCGGGTAAGTGCAGTCCCATGGGGAGGGAGCGCTGGGGCCGTTGCTCCCCCCCCGCAGCTGGGCATTGCTGCCCCAGGGGGCCCTCACTGCCCCCCTGCCCTGCGGCACACGCATCCCGGCAGCATAGGGAAGAGCATCAGCCCTGGGGATGTGACTTAAGCCCGCGTGGGCTGGGGCAGGAATGTGAGGGCAGGACATGGCCAGGCCAAGGGCCATCCCCAGCCGGTGGCCATTTGCCGCCCGGCTGTGCGGTGGCGGTGCCTGCTCCAGCTGGGTGCTGGGAGAGCAGGGTGCCAGGCAGGCTGTTTACCAGTCCCCCAGCTCCAGGCCAGGCGGCAGCAGGGCCATGAAAGGGAATCGGTGCCGGCAGCAAACCCCGGCCTTTTGCATTCTTTGTCCCAATAAGGCCGGGAGCCATGTGCTGGCTGGCCCCGACCCCCCCTCCGGGGCCATGCTCGCTGGCCCGGCCAGGGCCCAGCACCCTCCAGGTCCTCCCCGCAGCCTTGAGGGATCACAGTGGCCAGCAGCTGTTGTCTTCCTACTGCTGGGAAAACTGTCCCTGCGGCTGTGCCAGGAGGAAACAGAGGCGGGAGGGAACAGAAAGCAGCGCTCTGCCCCCAGGGTCAGGGTTCCCACTCGGAGCCGCCCTTGCAGGAGGAGGTCCCCTCCCTCCAAGAAGCCCCAGGGGGCTGCTGGCTCCTGGTAAGGCAGAAACCCTGAGGAGATGCTGGGGGGTGGTAGGCTGCAGTGTGGCACAGCCCTGGGGCAGAGGGAAGCATGCAGGACCCAACCCCCCTCGCCTCACCTGGGGGCTCAAACCTGGGTGCTGGGGAAAGGCTGAGCCCCCACGCTAGGGCATCAGTGACTCCGGCCCCAGGCCAGAGCACTGCCTGTTCTGTGCCTGCCTGCACCCTGGGTGCTCCCTGGTGTGGGGGCTGAGCCACTGAGCCCCCTCGCCCTCCTCTCCAGAGGCGATGCTGGGCTGGCCCTGCTATGCCTGCGCCTGGCGGGTGTAGGGGTGATCCCAATCTCTTGGCAAAGACCCCAGGTACCACTCACTGCCCTGCCAGGGTGTGGGTACCTCAGTCTCTGCCTTGTCCTCCTCTGCAGCGTGATTTGGCACTGCAGGGCAGAGCCAGCTGCCCAGGGTGCCTGGCAGCCTGCGAGTGCTGCCCGATTTTGACACTACGCTCAGGGGAGTGTGGGGTGACAGGGAGGGGAACCCCAGGGTGCTGTGCTTGGAGAGGGGGGCAGGGATGGCAACAGCACCCTGTGACACACTCGCTCTCTGCTCCCCTTGTTCTGTTCCTTGCATATCTGGCCTGTCCCTTCCCAAGTGGCAGTGCCCACCCAGGACGTAGCGGGGACCCCGGCTCGCCTGAACACTCACCGGTGGGAGCAAGCGTCCTCCTCCCCGCGCCCGGCTGGCCGCACGGGTAAGGTCCCAGCGGCGGCTGCCTCCGCACTCTGCTTCCCAGTGGCAGGAGGTCCCCGGTGGAGCCTGGGCAGGCGCAGAGCTCTGCAGTGGCAGGATGCTGCAGGATGCTGCTGGCTGAGGGGGGCTGGCTGCTGGCTGCCCACCTGCTTTCTTGCCCCCTGCCCAGCATCCGTCCCTCCCCACCCACGTGCACGGCCAGCCAGGTCCCCACAGAAG